GTGGGGCTTATGCAAGCACCTGATGTTAATTCTGGGCTTTCCTTTACATTGAATTTCTTTTACCCATAAAAGTAGTCAGTGTGAGCACACAAGTTTAGATTAAAGTATTTACTTCAAAAATGTGTACAAAGTATTTGTTATTTAACAAAACAGGAAATTAATTTAAAGGATTGAAAATACTACTAGAAGGCTCTGCATCGGCATGAACAGAATTCAAACAGCTCCGTCCCGTCATGACAATAAGATCCATTTGGTTTATTTTTCATATATAAATATAACTGAAACAGCTTTTTCAAATGTGAAATGAAAACATGAATCTCACTCTTGCAGGTATTAGACTATAAGCTCTCTGATGTACGGTAAGCCATCTGTACAAAACATGTAAAATAAATGTTACACTGAGGTTCCCCTTTCTTATAACTTGTCCCCAATGATAATAAATAAATCTCTCATATTATATATAGCAGAAAGTTGAGTCCCTTTACTGTTAAAGTCCCTATATATACAGTATAGTAGTTCCTAATGTATGTTGATTTCTGCTTGTACAGACGTCTAAAACAGCAGTAAACTGAGACACAAGCGAAAGTCCCATCAATCTCTGCTTTCCCTTTTCACCATGTTTACACATCAGTGACTTCTAAACCCCAATAAAAAGCCCTATGCCTTTCTTCCCCTGGGCTGTCTGAATTGTTCCTGTTTTCTTCTCATTCTTTGAACTTTTTCTGCCCAAGTCCATTCAGTGCAACACAGTCTGCATTTGTACAAGACAGCTTCATCTCCCCAGGTAAGATCCCTGACAGAAGATAAGGCATCATTCCAAACAGAAACTAAATGTACCTTTCAGAGAAAACAGCAGAGCGCCCGCATTTACCAAAAAGGCAAAATGCTGCACTGGGAGAGCGTACAGTAACTGTGAAGCTGCTTGAAGCTTAGATTTCCAAGACTGAGAAATGCAGATGAACCAAACTTAATTAGAAGGTTTTTAGTTTTCAAAACCCATTTCTATGAAGGGAAGATTGTTTTATCAACTCATCCAGAAACAGAAAAGTAAATAAAATAAATCTCAGACTAACATATATTTACTCTGCTGTCATTCAAACATAATAATAGAATGACTATTAGGTGTATTCTGCAGGATGCTAAATGGATTGAGATATTTGTTTAGAACTGCAGCAGAATTCTAAACTTGGTTTGAACATTAGAACACGTTATAGATTCATTGACAACTCCAAAGAAGATTTAACATATCTTACTGTATATACATTAATTATTAAGTACATGATAAGAATAAAAATGTGAAAATCATTTGTCAGGTATTAAATTGATTATTGAATTTCTTATTTGGTGGCAATCTGAAAAACATCTCATCATACAGTAGCTACAGTATGTAGGTCACTGCAAGGATATGTAAATTGGTCCAGGTGTTTTATTACAATTGATAAACTGCCATGATGAAAAAAGAGCACAAAGGAATACTACCTCATTCTCTCTGTGCAGAGGTGGGTGGTTGTTAGATGTTTACTGTATAAAGAGGCTTATTGGACTATCAAACCCCTACTCTATACTGTATCACCTGTGTCAATTACATGGTATTTAATATCTCTTTATATACATTTTTTACAAATCTAAATCTGTGAAGCTCAGGGTGCACCTGTACAGGAAAACAGGATAGAAAAATATACTGTATATAAAGTAAAGTTTTAATAAATGAAAAAATGATATTTTGCAAAATACAGTCATTCATAGCTTTTATAAGTCTCCGTGAGTCTCCGTGTTCTTACCTACTTATGATATGACATGTTGGATTTTAAAACATTACAAGTGATTAAAACAACTTAGCTAAAGAAAGCAATAACATGACAATGTATTTGCAGGTTACAGCTAAATGCAGTGCATGCTTAAAACTTTTTAGCAAATTGTCCAGTTTTACTAATTTTGTTGATGACTGGATTTTAAGTGAGTCACCAAAAACCACAATACCATTGCAAGAAAAAGTGAAATTGATCAGGAGAAGAAAGAAAGGAAGTTAAGACTGAGGTTTACCTGAGAGAGGCAGGAGAAGCAGGAGAACACCCAGTGCGTGGATGCAAGGAGCAAGGAACTGCATGGCAAAGGACCGAGAGGCTCTGGCGGCAGTCCCAGCTCGAAGTAGCAAGTTCGGAGGTGACAAGATCTTCCTTCTCCACCCAACAGTCACCCTTGTTCCCTCTCGCTGCACCTGTGCTTGTCCTCCCCGGCTCCTGCTGGCATTTTATTGCTTTTTCTCATTGCATTCTCCACACTCTCTTTGGGGACAGGTGAACACAAAGGGAAGACCACGAACAGGAGCAGAGAGGAGAGCAAAGTTTCAGCACGTCCTTTTCCTTTGATTTTTCCCTATTCGGTAAGCTGGCTTCTCCCCCAGAACGGCGGGGTCTGATCACAGCTCCTGCTCCCTCGTGGTCCCCATTTCTCTGCTGCACAATCTCTGCCCTGCTGCGGCGCGCGTGCGAGAGTTTTCCTCCCTCTCCTAGGTGTCGGAGTCCGCCTGAAGCCTCCCCTCTCAGCTGCCTCTCCCTCTGTGTCCTGCTCAGTCTGCTCAGTCTGTGTCTGTGCTCAGGCACGCAGACTGCTGCGCAGCTGGGAATAAGACTTCAGAGTGAAGGCATGCTTGTGCAGGGCTGCATATTTGCAGGGTACAGAAGGGCGATGGAGAGCCAGCCTTCATATCTGTGGCAAAAGCATCTCTTTGCATAGCCACGCGGGGAAGCCTATTAAATCTTTCTATTAAATGTTTTTTCATATTAAAACATCCATTTGATCCTTTAGGTTTTTATGCATATGAAGAGGGCTTCTTCCTGTATAATTCTTCATCTCCCTCTTTTAACTCTTTGTCCTGTTTTTTTTTCAGTTTTCAGTCATGAGACAGACTGCAAAGGTGCTTAGAGTGTAGATTAGATTGACCACAAATACATTTACTCCCCATTAAAATTTGCCAGGAATGTCATACAGAATCTAATAGCTGTGTAATTTTTTTTTTGCTGAATAACACTTTGAAGGAGACTGTTTAGGTGGAATCAAGTTTCAGTGAGGTGTTTTGTCCTCTTCATTTATTTTTAGCTGATCACCTGTCACTGTGACATTTTTGGTCTTGTTCACAGATACTTTGCTATTGACCCACTGCAGCACTGCACAAAACTCAATGGTTTCATTCGTGGATGCCATTTCCCCACTCTTGTAGTCTTTTGAAACACAAGTAAGCATTTGTGAGAAAGATAAAGGCTTTATTTAGAAACCTGCTGCCTCATCTATTAAGAGGAGCTCATTTTCATTCACTTTGTCCTTAGAGAGAACTACAGGACTAAAAAGACTAACTATCAAACAAATAGGCTATAAAACAATTGCTGTAACAGGATCCATCTGCTTTTTTAATAATTTTTGTATCATGTCTGTTACTGGGGGACTTCTTGTGGACAAAAATTAAAGCTGTTTTCTAAAAAGTGTTATTTGTTTTTTACCTCAAAATTATATTCTGAAGGCAAATATAAAGAGGACTACAATATTGTCACCATTTGTTCCACAATATATATTTTGTTTATTTTCTAATGTGTTCTGAATGCTTCTGTTATGTAACGATTAATAACTTTTTGTTTCTACAGATACAGTGGATACTTTAACTGACAAAACACTCAACTAACTTTTGCTGGTGTGTTCTTATAGAAGGAAAAATTTGCTCTCAGAGGGAACATGAGCCAATTGTTAATTCCTTTGATATAGAGTAAGCTGTTTAAGGTTGGTATCCCATTTTAAAATATGGACATTCCCTGCATGTTTTGGTCACTTCCAATATTATATCGGACCATCTGTGCTGTTCATCTGTCAGTGGTTCTCCCGGTCTCCACACAATACTGTTTAATTATTCACAGGAGGTTAGCTCCAGTCATTTTTTACTCATCATAGTCTCTTTTATGGACCTTCAGACACAAGTCTTTTTTCAGGTTGTGACAGGATCTCCATTGTTCTTTCTTGTATAGTACTCCTTTGCAGCTTGAATCCAGAATATTCTTATCTTGGAGAGCTGAGTGTGAATCGTTCAAACTTTGTCCTGTGATATAATGCTTTCACAGTTCCAAACTGCATAGAATTGTGCAAAGGAGTAGAAAAATCCCAACACCGATATCGAACATTTTAATTAAGAGGAAAGACCAAGTGTTTTGAAACTGAGCAAACTCACCTAATGGAGGGCAAAACAACATGTGTGCAGTGTCTCACAACTAAATGGTTTGATCTTGCGTGTGGGAGAGAGAAAGACTGAAAGCCTGGCGATCAAGACGGCATATCAGTTACTGTGAAAAGGATCAAGTCTGAGCTCAATAAAGAGGAACCATGCTGTGTTTAGAACTCCCGACAGTATAAGTGACAAGAGAGCAGCCTTAAGAGTGTCCGTGTGTGTCAGAAGTAAATGATGGCATATATTTAGTTTTTTTAAGATGAAAGGCCTGACACCTTTATATCAATGTTTTTATTGGCATTTCATGGTGAGAAAAATAATTAGATGATAAGGTAATGACAGCCATAATATTTACGTTCTATAGCGTTTCCAAAGAGGAGGAGGACAAATTTAATTAAAAAACCACAGTCTGCCATTATGAATACCTTCCCCACAGGATTTCCTTTGAGGTTGTGTTGAAATGAATTTGACCAGAGCCACGTTTGTTATGTTCTTCTGAGGGGCGGGTGTTCTGAAAATGTTGGGTTTTTTTTTAATCGGTACAGGTGTTACCTTCCCCTCCAAATGGTGTCAAGAAGACATAGGAGTCTGCTGAATCAATAAACCACGATTATTCCTAGCCCTGTTATGGGCTCATAGATGAAAATGCTTTTGAGAAGGTGTGTGTAAGGCTGACTTGCAAACAAGTTATAAATTAATGGGCATCAGACCTCGATGAGTTGATTTTACAGAAGATTACAGCTTTGAAATTGCAAATTGCCAAAAATAGCCCTTGGTTCTCTGATCTGCAAAAGAGATGTTTTGTCTCAATAAACTCAAGAGTATCTCAAGAGTATCTAAAACGTTCAGATCAGACATTGGCCTGATGTTGTGTAAGACCATGTGCAAATGAACCAGTTTTGGGCCAATGCAAACCCCGTGTTGACTGGATTCCCGAGAGGTTCATATACTGTATGTGGTATGAAGTTTCCTTCATATTTCACCTTTTATCTCATCTCTTCCCCCTTGATCATATTTTAAAGTTAACTGGTTTGACCAATGTCTGAAAAGGGCAACCTGTAGAGAGATGATTTTTACTTTTTTTTCAGATGGAGACTTTTGGTTGGGCTTCTGTTAGATATGTACTATGTACGTGAAGTGAGAACAGGTACTGTAAGGCTGCTGTATATTGATGTATAGAAATGAATGGCATACAGCTTAGATTGATCTTCTATATAGGGCCTCCTCTGAAGTCACTCCCATTACACAGGGGGTTTGTACTTCTAATCTGCAAAGACTCAGTGTCTGTATGGCTTTTTCTGGAGTGATAGCCAGCTGGATTAATCACAATTCTGGAACTCCTGAGGCCAAGCATTTGCCCCTTGGATGCAGAGTATGCCTGTCCAAATGTCAAACTTGTTCGCCTTTTCTCTCCAAGTAAGTGTTTCTTGGGAACATGATATTTGGCTAGAGAAACAGCAGGGATGAAACATGCCCACCTGTACGCCATGGCAGACGTAGATCAAAATAGCGCTCATCTTCCTGCTGATAACAACAGCACACCTGCTGTCACTGCCTTGGGTTAATGTCCTGTCTGTCTGCAAAAGCAGCATCTTTTTGGCTTTTTCCTGCGGTTCAACAAGACATAGCACCATCTCGGCAAGTGGGCATGGATCTGAAAAATAATCAAATGTATATACAGAATTCTGTTATATTACATGTACGTTCTTGTCATGCACCTAATCTCGTCCAAGCACAAGGGGACATTTATGTCCCACACAACGGAAAGCTTGACATCAGCTTTTACCTCTGCAAACTTTCCTTACGTGAGCTCTTGCCCAGGGAGAATATTCGCAAGCCCGAGTGCCCGTCGGGGGCACACCTGCAGCTGCCCAGGGGGTGCTGACAGTCTGCTGAAGCCCGTGTCAGGGAAGGCAATACAGCTGCAAGCCTGGTGCCATCTGGCAGGGAGGCAGAAGGCCCCAGTGCATGATAATGGCGAGAAGCAGGAGGAGAAAAATATTTGTTCACTGATAGACTGGAGAAAAGACAATGTTTTCAAAAGGCTTTGAGAAAGGGAATGAAGGAGACAGGAAGAGCTTTTGTTACTGTGATTCAATGGCTTACAGCGCCAGAACTTCCTTATGCTTAGATGGCTAAAGGCGGAAGACTAGAGTGAAAAGAGGAACAAAACAGCTCATTCAAGCTAAGCTGCCTTTGACCTTGAATACCCAGCGCACCTTCCATTAAAGGAATTTATTCCAGCGTTCAGCGTAAGGATGAAAGAAAAAGGAATGCAATTAAATGGCTAAATAATTTCTCCAGCTCAGTTAAATAAAATGGAATATATTTTTTTTACATCAATTTAAAGTGAATTCCTCCAGGTTTACCCCGTAGTGGTAGCCTCTGGATCATACCGAGGGATCAGCCCTTACAATCCCTTTTAAAATCATCTGTCCATCCATTTTCTAGCTGCTGTTCCAATTCACAGTCGCAGGGGAGCCGAAGCCTGTCCTGAGAAGCAGTGGGCGAAAGGCCAGATACACTTTGGACAGGACGCCAGTGCATCTCAGCTTTTAAATCATTGTGTTCAGAATTCCAGCCAAACATGTTGTGCACAGTACTTGTTAGTCTCAATTACTGTACATTGGCTATTTGATTCACTTACTGAGCTTCTTAATTAATATTGAAAATAGTTTTCTGCACCCAGCACTGGGTTTCAATTAAATGGCTGCTTCGGTATCGACCAATTAGAATGCCCTAGTGTGTCCTGTACAGTGCTTACAGTCTATTATCAATTAATGAAGTTCAGGCAGATTTAAAGATCAGGCAAAATTCAAAACAAAATCTTTGTTAACTGTTCTGATGAAGTTGTTATCATCTCTTCAACATCTCTCTCATCTCTAAAATTGACAATCTCGAGTTTAGTCCCACATATTGTCTTTTTGACCAAAAACATTATCCTGGATAAGATGCTTTAGCCATGCGAGTAAAAAGCAAGACTTGTAATTCCCTCATACAGTAGCAGATCAACTGCAATGCCGCACTGTAACATAATGGATGCTACAGTACTAGAATCACTCACATTATTGCCCTATTAGCATGACAATACAAGTTGAGAGGGCACACACAGGGGCATCATTTAAACATGGGAAATCAATAGAGAGCTAACTCATTCTGTCTGTTGAAAGGGTGATTCTGACAAGTGCTTGAAACAAAGAAAGTCCTTTATATACTGTATATATATTTTAAATGAAGCATACAGTAGTGAATGTGAAACAGAAGGGAAAAATGCTTCTAAGTCTACCTGACATACAGGAATTGCTGGTGATGACTCATCAGGCTTCTTGCAACAGAACTAAAGAGACTCAGTATTAATTATATACTATACAGGCACAAGTTAACTACCCTTTGTCTTTCATCTATTTTTTTTAGTAAAAAACAGCCA